TTTTCTTGTCCTGCTTCTAATCATAGTCACTTTTCTCAACTTTTAGCTCACTTTTTCTCTCTCGCATTAAGACCAACAACAAAAGGGCTCATCAACATAACCAGACGTGTGTCTGACAGTGTGTAGAAAGTGAGAGAGAGTGGTCATTAAACCTTGATGGCTGAGAAAAGACGTTACTTTTGTTGTCCTAGTTACTTTGAGCCCTCACTGCAGATTTCGAGCATAGGCGAACACATGTAGAGATAGACACACTCACAGGCTTCGAGGTTGACATATGACAGTAACTAATCGAATCACTTTACATTTCATCAAACAGGTCAGATATAAAGTATATATACCACTTTTAGGGATTTGCCGTTGAGTTTTCTTGACTCGTTAGCTTCAATTTTATCGTGACGATGCTACCTTACTCTAATGATGTTCGTCATATGAGAGACGAAAGGGTAGCACCTTTGCAGCGGAATCGAAGGAGATTGCCTCGGAAACAGCGTCAGTATGAATGTTCCAGTAAAGCCAATCGACAGCCGGTCAAGAGGAATCCTCCATCGTCTTCTGGTGGAATTGACCTTCGAATCTCTTTACAAAATACTTTCACTCAAAATGGAAGTAAGCTCAAAAATTATGAAACAAGAGATTCCTCAAAACCCAACTTTTCTTCGCATAAGAGGCATTTATCCAGGCTCTCCTGACACTACAACAAAGTTGCAAAAACAAGGTTGAGTCGTTTTTCTACAATAAAATGAGACCGCAACCAGAATACTAGCCATACCATCTCGATATTCAGACCTTCTGCTAATTAGGATTTATTTTCAATACAGCAACCGCCACATCGTTTCAGCCAACTTGAAGAGCTTAAATAGCCAACGGACCAATCACTGCAAGACTAGATTCTGACTGGTGGGTTTGTGGGCAACGGTTTGCGACAGTCTCTCGGGGATTCAGGCTTGCGGAAATGCTGGTTCCTTTCATTTGTACAAGTTTGCTGTGCTAATCGACAATTCGGAGACCCACAAAAGGGTTGAAAGACTCGAATGGACGCCTAATCTTTCAGTGTGTGTGATTCCAACCGCTCAGCCATGCTCGACTGGCTCTTCTCCCCTTTGGCCAACGATGTGCACCTCTTCCTCGGCCTCGTGTTTGTCTTTGTGCAGGCATCCGGCCGGGACTGGACGCCACCACTTGGCACTAGTCCCCATCGCACTCCTCGGCTCCACGAGTCCACCACCAACGAACCCTTCGAGCAGGCTCGCCTCCTTCGAGGCCCGGTCAAATGCGGAGCTCGGCTACGAGGCCGCCATCTCGACGAAGCGGCGTCGGCTCACGATGCGGCCAGGGCGGGGTGGCGGCTCGCAGAAAACCGACTCGAGGCACCGGCCGCGCGAAGTCGAACCGGTTTTCGGGGTAGGTCTTCTTCTTCGGTCATGATGTCCACTTCGTGATGGGTCGGCGGGAAGGCGATCTCGTCCCAAATGAACAGAAGAGCAAACTTTCCCATCCGATTTGGCCGTTGCCATCCTCCACGGGCTCACCGAGCTTAGAGATACGAAGAGTAACTGGGCTTGGGCTGCACGACAACGGGAATCAGTCGTCCCCTTCTGGTGAGATTGAACCGCGAATCTGTACTACATGCACTTTCGCAACAAATGAAAGTCTAATCGAAGGTATGAAGACCGAGATGGTGTGGCTTTTTGTATGGTCGCAGTCTCCTTTCGTTGAATAGAAGTTGTTTGATTTTGTTTTCGCAACTTGGGCATGTTGGTAGGAAGACTTGGAGGAACGCACCTTGTCCGGAGTCCATTGTATGCATCATCATTTCCAAAGTTGAACC